TAACATAAGCAATAACATTGTTTTTGTACAAACTTATAACAAACAATTTTCTTTTCTACCATGGAGCAGTCGTAAACATTTCAGTTTTTTTTTAAAATTGTATTATAGTTCGGCCGTTCAGAGAATGCGTTCCTGACACCTATCAGTTAGTCGCGACTAGTGATGGGCACAACATAACACTGAGTTCTTTACCGTTCCTCCAAAATGAACCGCCGCGTTATTTTTAAGATTATTTTCGTTTTAAATTGGCGGAATCATTTAAAATTTATATTTTAGTAATTTAAGTGGAAACAAAAAAAGGTAATATTAATATAATAAAATTGTTTTATTTATTCTTTGTTACAAAGTTACAATCTTTATTTCTATGCAATAAAGTACATTGAATTGAATGTGCGTACAGACTATTAATCAGACTCCGATTCGCTTGAGGAGGTGGTGTCTTCAACATCATCTTCGCCTACATGTATAATTATATTATTATCAATAACAGAATCAATCCTGATATCTCGGTCAAAATGTTCCGCAATCAGGTTTTTAGTCTTCTCAACAACCTTTGCCCAGTCATCTCTTGTGACTTCCCCGCATGCTTCTTTTAATAGGGCCATCATCTTTTTTCGTGCTGAATGGCGGGGAAGTATTGTGGCGGGCGGCGTAACCTTTTATTTGAGCCCAGATTAGCTCAATCGTGTTATATAGGCAATGATACGGTGGAATTCTTAGAACGCGATGATCGTACTCCAGAGCCAGTTCATCGATTTCGTATCGCATATTTGCCACTTTATTTTCTTTAACTAATTTAATTAGCTCTGGTTTTAGCATCTGCATATTTGCGTTTTTATACGAAAAACCAATATCTTTTAAGATTTTGGTTAAGCAGTTTTACCCCAGCTAAACAGTCCAGCTTCTCTTAACGATGCCAAAAGCTTCTTCCTGTTGAGATATTCATTTCTGGAATAGTAACCATATATATGATTTCTGATTGCATCGGCGTCAAAGGTGTCAATATCTGTCACGGGTTTAGTTCTACGTTTCTTCTTCGGAGTACGTAAAATATTATCTTCCGTGCCAATAGAGCCGAACTTTTCTTTATTAATATTTGTTATCGTTCGTTTGCTAACTCCAAGCGCCTGAGAGACGCGTTCTTGTACTTCTTCGACAGGTAACAGGAGTCTGCCATTTTGCCGCTCCCGCTCAAAGTAATCTTGCAGCTTGATGATTCTCACGGGCTTCTCACTGAAATTTTCACTGAAGACTCACGGGGTCCACTTTTCAATGTTTGTCCACGTTTAGGCATTATTATGCACCAAAAGTAAAAAAAACGCAATACAAAACACAATCGAAGTCCGATTTAGCGCCGATGTCAGTTTGAAAAGCAGAAACAGTCCATTATATGAAAGCCGGGTATTCAAATAAAAACAGATCGAAAACACTTGAAGAACGTGGTCTATGCGCACGAAACGACAACAGACGACTGTTTTAGCGTCACAAAATGGCGGCCCATAACGCCATTTGGGGTTACCATTTTCAACCTAAATATAAAAATGCTACTTTCTTTCGCGCGTTCGGTTTGGTCGTAGTTTCATTTTTATATTTAATAAAAGTTATCTTATAGTCTTATAGTCCATTTTCAAATTCTTAAAAAGAAAAACAAAACGTATTATTTTATAAAGTATAACTGTATAAGAACAGATTACGATACTGTTTTTGCCTGTTATTGTTAGCACAGCACTACAAATATAAAGCGCTGACATAACCTTGTAATAGCGCAGTATAGATTTAGAAAAATATTGTTTACCAAGTTATTTGACACTCAGTTTGGCACAAAATTATAACATTCATTGATTATTGATATAATAATGTTGTTTTAATGCTCATCAATTGTTAAAACGGTAAACAACCAGCAAAAATATTTTTATCGTAACTGCAACGCCATTACAAAGTTACGTCGTCAGTTCAATCGCGACGTGTCAGGAACGCATTCTCTGAACGGCCGAACTATAGTATATAAATAAAATAATTCAGTAATCGTTACTGTAATATCAGGTCCAACTTTCTATGAACTTTTGCTCGTCTCATTTACATAGCAATACATACGGCGCACATACTTCGGGTCTCTAGTTCACGACTTTGACCTCCGTTGATCCCAACCTTCACATAGCAGTATGTTCGTTTGTTAGAAATAATTATTATAAAACATGCAAGCACTGCACAATTGCAGTCACCTAGAACACTGTCATCGAAGACAGTGTTGCCAGGTTTTAAAAATTTGCTAAATTTCGAGCAAATTATGGTATAAAATATGTATTTTAAATAATAGTAACATTTTAAGACGAAATGGTATCGTGTTAACGTAGGTTTTAAGAGGGTAAAGCAGCTGCAGGCGGGCGGCGATCGGCGCGCAAACTAGGTCCCTCCCGTGTCCGGCTAGCTGCTAGCGATATTCCGTTTATCTACTCATGTGGATATAGCAACGAGTAGGGATGATGATACGTCGTACCGATATTTTTAAACAGTATCGATATATTCACGTGATGAATATCGATATATCGTCATGTTTTGCATAATGTAGTACGATAAGGTTTAAAATACTATTACTGGACGGTTGGATGACGAAAAAAACGACAGCGACACATGAATGTTTTTGTAGCTTCTTTTGTTGCTTAATGTTTTGTCGATTAAGACAACATTTTAAAATATATCGAAATTAATACGATTCGACACTCCACGACAAATATTGAATATCGAAATTTATAAATATCGACGATATATATATATATACACTATCGATATTTTTACCCAAGCCTAGCGACAAGCTGCATCGCACTTTCATAAATATTGGGTTATTTCATAATCCACTAATAGTTCAGTCATCTACTAGTAGTACAGTGTAGTACAGTATGTCTACATAGTAAACAAATATATTGTAATTGATTGATGTAACCAGCATTTATTTATAAAATAATTTCAGATAATAATTGGGCGCACCAAAAGACCCTTCTGGTGTTGCTAGGTATAACATGATACGACTCGTACCCATGCCTATAGATCCTTACTTACGAGTCGACGTATACTTACTTTTCAAGATAAAAATTAACTACGTACCTACCGAGGTATGAACTTAGTTTATTTTTTAGTGTTCATAACTCAAATATTTTAGTGTCAAAAATATTCATATAAGATTGTTTTGTCATAATAAAATACTTTTAATTTATTTATATTTCTGCACTTTTTTAAATAACTGTTAATTAAGTTTGGGTATAAACATAAATTGTTATCAAATATTCATTTTTGAGTCAATATACAAAATTTGTATACATAGAGAAAGTACTGACGTTGAGTTATCAAATATAATTTGCATTTGTTGCGATTCTCGCTTGTTCATTCGGCTCGAAGGACCAGCGAGGTCAGCGTTGAAAGTGCTTTTAAATGTAAATTAGCTTGAACTTAATTGATGCCTGCTACGCATCCTAATTTGTGATCGTAAGCAGTAGTTAATTATATTTCCTAGCTGTTTTGAACAATATCTCTCTGTGTTTAATGTTTTATGAGTTATTAAAATATTATAGATACCGTATTTTATCATAACCTTGTTCCATTTGAATTTGTGCCACTTTGTATTAACTGGTTAATAAATTTTTTTATAAAAGAGGGAAAACAAGCATGCTGCTTTTCCTGATTGTGAGTGATTACTGCCATCTCAAGCAAGCGGCCCCACAGAAAGTGGACCTGGTCGAGCCCCGACGGTTCGACAAAAAATGAGATTGACTTCATTATGACGACCAGACGCCAACTGTTCAGTGATATCTCATTGATCGCAAGGGTGAAAACTGGCAGCGATCACCGAATGGTTAGAGGTACACTGAACCTAAACGTTAAGTTGGAGAGGTCTTGTCTAATGAAGTCAACGCTCCGTCCCCCTCGTGTTCTAATCCAGAATCCCGAAACTTTTCAGCTCGAGTTACGGAACCGCTTTCAGTGCCTAGAAGATTGTAATGCAGTGGACGATATGAATGACAAGCTCGTGGAAACTGTCCATGCGGTCGGAGCTAAGTTCTGCAAGATACTCTTAACCTCATGGTTATTAGACGGAAGATGAGGCTGACAGATTTGACAGCATACAGGCAACTCCACAGACAGATTTCCAAATGCATGCGGCGTGACTTACGCAAATTTAATACTGCTCGTATTGAAGAAGCGATTAAGCGGAACCAGGGCTCCAAAGTCTTTGCCAGAGATCTGTCTGCCAGTAAGGGCCAACTGTCAAAGCTGTAGACTGAGTGTGGCAGCATCGTTTCCGGAACACCTGATATTCTGAGTGAGATTGAGAGGCTCTATGGGCAGCTGTACACATCATCGTTGGAGCCACACGCAAGTGTGAGTAACGATCCAAGAGCAAGTCTTATCCGACACTATTCCGATGATATCCCGGACGTCAGTATGAGCGAGATTAGAATGGCTCTCCAGCACCTTAAAAACGGCAGGGCCCCAGGCGAGGATGGAATTACAGCGGAGCTTCTGAAAGCGGGTGGAACACCGGTACTTGAAGTCCTTTAGAAGCTCTTCAATTCCGTCCTCCATGGTGGCACTACTCCGGAGGCGAGAAGCAGAAGTGCTGTGGTCTTGTTCTTGCGGTGGTCTTGTTCTTTAAGAAAGGCGACAACGCTCTCTTGAAGAACTAGAGACCGATTTCCCTACTGAGCCGCGTCTACGTGCTGTTTTCGAGAGTCATTACGAATCGTCTCGCACGCAGACTCGATGACTTTCAGCCTTCTGAACAAGCCGGTTTCCGAAAAGGCTTTATTACCATAGACCACATACATACCCTGCGGCAGATTGTACAGAAGACCGAAGAGTACAATCTGCCGCTTTGCCTGGCGTATGTGGACTATGAGAAAGCCTTTGATTCCGTCGAAATTTGGGCGGTGCTACAGTCCCTTCAGCGGTGCCAAGTTGACTGTCGGTATATCGAAATGCTGAAGTGTTTGTACAGTAGGGCTACGATGGCTTTCGAAGTACAGAACCAGAGTTCGAAACCTATCCAACTGCAGAGAGATGTAAGACTGGGTGACTTTATATCCCCGAAACTCTTCACCGCTGCGTTGGAAGACGTTTTCAAGCTACTGGACTGGAAAGAATACGGTATTGACATCAATGGCGAGTACATCACTCACCTTCTATTTTCCGACGATATACTCCTTATGGCAGAATCGCTGGAGGACCTTAGCACTATGCTCAATGACCTCAATGGTGTCTCCCAACGGATAGGTCTTAGGATGAACATGGACAAAACAAAGATCATGCTTAATGTCCATGTCACACCTATGCCGGTAGTTGTTGGGAGCACTATGCTTGAAGTTGTTGACGAGTACGTTTACCTGGGACAAATAGTCCGATTAGGTAAGTCCAACTTCGTGGCATTACTTGGGGGAGGCCTATGTTCAGCAGTGGACTTGTGAAGGGCTGTGATGATGATGATGGTGAATTACTACTTTAACTTATTTTTATTATCCCGACGTTTCGGGTGCTTTACAGCACCCATGGTCACTGGGAGGGGGACTGAAATGTTTGACGTCCCAATATCATAGTTAGTCCGGCTAGCTTCAGTTTTTGACTATTAATTTTTGGTCCGATTTACGCAAAATGAGCTAATAGTATCATGAAGTCCTGCATTGACATGCTTTGGTTTGGGTTAAATTTTGTTAATTATAGGATCCCAAGCAGATGGCAGCACCCATCCATCTTCTCTATTGAAATTTGGATGTTTTTTAATTTCAATAGCCTCGCGTATCATCCTCGGTAGGAATCCGTGTTCTTTTGCGAGGATTTGTGGTTTATCAAATCTAATGTAATGGTGGGGCCGATCTTGAACATGTTCGCAGACTGCAGACTTCCCGGAGCGTTGGTGCTTAACGTCAGCTATATGTTCCCTCACGCGGGTTTTCGTAGATCTTTTTGTTTGAACTATGTAATAGAGACCACATTTACAATCTAGCTTGTACACTCCTGCATCTTGAAGGCCGGACTAACTATGACATTGGGACGTGAAACATCTCAGTCCCTCGTGACTTTTGATTAATGTTCAAGAACATCATTAAAAAATAATAGTTTAAATTTTAATACATATTTATTAGTAAATAGTGTGCAAACTAACCGTAAATACAATCGCAATAAGTTTGATTTTTTTCTTATTGTAAATAAAAAGTTGTTGAACCGGTTCAAGATGCGTAGCATCATATTAGTCTGTACATTAAGGCAAAATGTAGTATGTAATGGTATCACCGTCAGGGATGTAGTCTTGTTTAGTGACTTTCCGGAAACCGATAAGCACCGGTAAAATTTGAGTGTATTTATTTTGAAACATTTCAATAATATTTTTGTTATTAATTTTGTAAAATTTTGTACTAAAAGATAAATATAGTATTCACTTAGTAAAAGTGCAATGGAAAAAATGTTTTGTATGTTTCATATTCACGATTCTTCCTAAATATTATGAAAAAAATATTTTGTATGTTCCAAATACACGATTCTTTGTACATTTTTCGATTAAAATAATCAAAAATTTTACTTCAAGAAATACAAGACAAAAACATTATTTGCTACTAAAATGTATTAAAAATAGATAAATAGAGTTGTTCAGATTCATGTGTATGACAAATACATACTTTACTATTATAATGCCAATGCCTGTCTCAGGCTTTTATGACTAAACCGTTTAATCTATTTTGATAAAATTGAGATAGTTTAATATCTGTTTAGGTCAAAAAGTAATATCACAGCTAAGTAGGCTGTAAAGGCTACTTTAATTTAGTCTTTATTAGCCGTTAAACCACTAATTTGTATAAAAACTGTGAAATGGGTACAAAACTTTTTATAGGATATGCTAAGCCATTCAACGGATTTTGACGAGATTTGGTATTCAGATAGCTGGAAAGATTAAAAAGGCTAGGTTACCTTTTATCCACAAAGTGATAACGTGGTATGACTGAATTTCACGCGGCTGAAAACGTATTTGTAGACTTCTTTAAATTAGTATTTTTTATTATTTATTATCTTTGAAACGTGTTGGCCAGTTTATCCACGTTAGTTAACATCCACAAATTGCAGTAGGTTGCTATGAATACAAAACTAACCAAAACTAAATGTTAGTTTATTAAGAAGGTACTTACTTCCCTTAATAAATAAAACAGTAATTACGGAATAATAACATTTATTTAAAGTTATGGAATAGTAACATTTATAGCTTACTATATCTACTAGGCTTACTAGGCCCTAACAATTCAACCCATCCGTAAATATTAATCGATCGAGTGTGTATATTTACTATTTATTCTTTAAGTCCGGATCTCCAGGAAAACTGCAAAAATGGTTTATGTAAATGAAGAATATCAAAATAGTACCAATAGTAGTAAATAGTACAATATATATAAGCCGACATAAGGCAAGCGAGAAATCGCATGAAAAAGTATGAAGATACATTTTTTTTGTAATTATTGAAATTTTTTATGTTATTTTATAGAGAGAATAAATTTACAATTTAATAAAAAATGTTAAATTGAGTTTATTCGTAGGTCTTTAAATTAACATTTTTCATTATATTTTTATCGTCTCTATTTAGCTTTTCATTAAGCCAAGTACAAATTTGAAAGCGACAAAATTTTCCGCCTTTCAGTATCGGTAAAATTTTGTTACATCTCTAGTGCTTCCAATATCTGTTGTTTTGTTACATCAGTATTTCTTTGTTGGTAACGTCAAGAGATGTGTTGACATTTATAAGTGTGAATTGACATGTTAGCGTCATATTAGTGACTACACGGGCTCCGCCCACTCTCCCGTTCTAATATAATACGTATTATAGTATTCTATGGTTGAACTATTTACAATTTTTTTTACAATTCTGACGATGTGCTCTGACTTTGCATTGCCTGGAGGCAAAATTATAGTTGTTTTTTAGAGCGCTGATGTTTGCATCCCAAAACGTTGATGCGTCAGCCCAGGCACGGTAGCACTCCTGCTTATAGCGTGATGCAATTTTACGAGAGTGATCCAACCACGGCTGAGTTCAGACTCCGATAGGCACCACAGATGATGGAATAAAAAATAAGACTATTGAACAGACAAAAAATGTTCATAGTTGTGAGAATTTTTTATGTTAATTAATTACTTCCTCCTAAAACGAATTATCAACTTAAAGAGTTTGCTTAAAAAGTGATGATGTACAAGTTTATAATATGTTAGATAAATATGTAAAATTTGTCCCACAACATGAAATTACTACTTGTTTAATAAATATTGACAGATGTTAATTAAGTGTCGTATGCTCCGGGAAATCTAGTTTAATGAACCGTGACTTGACTGCGAGTTAATGCGCTTAGAATAAATCCGTCATTATGTATTGTGTTTAATGATGGATTAATTATATTTTTAATATGTACGTTACAATGAAACGCATGCCATCCACCTGATGGAAGATGATGCCGTCGCATATAGATACTTCATCTACCCTCGTTTATGAATGAAAGTGCTTGATTTGTTTCCATTAAAATTTACAAAAACGCAATGTAAAATTACAAAATTAATGTCAATGATTGATCAGCCTATTTCTTTCAATTTTATTCATTTTTATTTCAATATTATTATATATATAAAGTAATATAATAATATTGAAATAAAAATGAATAAATGAAGAATAATATTGAAATAAAAATGAAGAAATGAAATGAAGCGACAGTAGCCTAATGGCAGGGCGCGGATCGATAACTCAAAAGGTCGTGGGGTCGAATCCGCCATTTGACTACTGTCGTGAACCACTCCTAACACAAGCGTTTCAAGCTTACCAGGAGTGGTAAAAAGGAATATTAGTAATGTTAATTAATAAGATTACTAATATTTAAAAAAAATAGTTCCCCGCCGCAGCGCACTCCTTCACCTACGAAATATGAAAAAATAATCAATATCTGACGGCGTAGTAAGAGAGACTGGAATACAACTAAGACTTTTGGAGAAAACTTTCACAATGGATTTAGATGACTACGAGTACAAACTTCCTTCACGAGTCAAATAGTAGCGGTTCGTCCTTGGACCGAAGGAATCAACGTCACCAATGTGAAGTGTACTTACTGAGTTGTTCTTAGCCTTTACATAAACTTATTTTTTTTTACTTTTAATTACTTGCACAGTATAATGGTTGTGTAAGAATATTCACCGTAATGGCGGTGTAAGGATATCCACCGTAATGGCGGTGTAAAAATATCCACCATCCCATATCATCCCGTGGGTGTCGTAAGAAGCGACAGAGGAAAACAAATCAGGAGATGGACAGCAGCGTCTTCCTGATAACGACTTAAAACAAAAGTCTTTGGATATCAACCCGCTTGCCATACGTGGCAACTGTGGCAAATATATCCCCCTTAGGAGGCAATCTATGGGGGTGGCTTATATTTAGCAGTGGACTTTAATTGGTTGTAACGGTAACGATATTTTTTTTAACTAGATTTTATTCTTTTATGAAATCTTTTTCATTCTTTTATGCGATAATAACCCTATTGTGTTGAAAATTTAGCTATCAACAACATGTTGTTTTCGCAAAGCGCCTTATTTATTTGCAATAGCAAAAGTTACGTTTCTCTCTATTTGTAATTGGTGTTATTTTGGAGTTACTACCACGATGGTCTTAAAAAAAGTATATTTTTTTAAAGAATTGAGCTAACATCTGTTTACCTGATAGTAAGTGGCTATTACAGCTTATGGATACCTGCAAACCACCTTCCTCTTAAATACTGCCACAGAATTTAGTTATATTTCTGAAAAAAATAAATAAAGGAAACCACTGGTGACCTCATTTCTATTATCCCTCGTACCGGGCACTATTCTTAAAGCAGACATAATCCTTCTTACGAATGATTTTAAAAGTGATACGCTGAAAAGATCTTGAAGCTTCCGATAGATGGAGTTATGGAATCTCGTTTTCACTAGGTATAAAATAACTATACTAACGATGGGATGAAGCGTAAAAGGAGCAAGAAATGACTGCGATCGTCAATACGCCAGACTAACATGACGATTATGGCAAATCTTTTATACAGCTGGAGAGGCCCACATCCAGCAGTGAACTTCTATGGATTGCTAAAGTGGAAGATAAAAATATCTTGTATGTTAAAATACTTATACGTGTAATGATTTCTTATATATACGTAAATACTACATATTAAATATATCTAGTTTTACTATTTTTCTCACGTTTTGTTTTAAAAATGAACGCTATAATACCGTAAAATTATTTTTATTTAATCTATGCTATCAATACATATAATAAAAATGTAAATTGCAAATGTCTGTACATTTTATATTTTTGTAACAAAATTGATGGAAAGGGACTTAAAATAAGTAATTGACATTCCTATCATTTTTAGAATTATCCGTCCGTCTGTCTGTTTGTTAACGTATCGTTTATAAAGTA